CCTGTTGTATCAAGCTAAGTTCAGAAAGATGTCTACTTTAAACCTCAGCTCCATTTCTCCTTTCTTCATTGCATATTCACAATTGTGAGTGCCTGGGGATTGTGTGGTTGTATGAATGACAATAGGGCAACTTGCCATGGTTCATTCATTCAGCAGAGCTTTTTTGAATGTTTTATTTTCACATCATTTTCGTTCTTACTAAATGAATCTGTGCTTGATGCACTAGCTCTGGAAGCTGGACATCATCTGTTATACAAGCACCCATGAGATTCCCAAGTCAAGCTTTTTGTCAAATTAAATGTGACAAATTGATTCTTAATTAACCCACAAGAAAAGCTGATGATAGTTTTCTTGGGTAAACATAGAGTCCTTTGAGCTGGTACTATTTAAACTTTTCATAAATTTCCTTCTTTCCTCTTACAATAATCAGCGCCTTCCAAATAAGAAGTTTTGGATAAAAGATCTAGATCAAAATGAATTTCCTCATAAACAAAATATGACTGTTTCAGGCAAAATAAAGGCCAATAGCTATTTCAGACTAATTTTGAAGGAATGTGCATCTTATGATACCTCAGGATTAATGTATACATGGAAAAACATTCATATTTCTTAAACTGATCATAAAGCTGACAGGTACAAAAATGGGCCACCTTCCAGTCCTGTCTTCCCAATTCTCAATTACAGATGTCTTAATTTTTATGTGTGCCATGGGCCCTTCAGCAAATTTGTGAAAACTGTGAACCATTCCTCAAATATATGTGACTACAAAAGAAAAACTTAGGTTGAAATCTATTATTAAAACATTACACAAATATGCAATATGGAAATGCATATGTGTCTTTATTAAAACAAGCCCTAACAGTGGGACTAATAGCTACATAATTTGAAATGATGAGCAAAATTAATATTCGAGATGAAAATTTTTTTTTTATGTTTTCATCTATAACTGTAAAATGAGGTTTTAAAATTTGTAATTTTTGTGAGCAACAGTCACAAGTGCTGCTAATACCATCATAATCTATTGCCATGGTTAGTGAAAGATAAACACAATTTTTTCCTTCCTCTGTTGTTCACAGCCCCCTAAATTTTACACACAGATCCCTTGGAGGACCACGGATTCTACATTAGGATAGCGTGAGCCCAGCGACTCTTGCCACTGCTTCTACTTCTATTCGACCACTAGAGAGGTGCCCTGGGGTCATGGTCAGTTATCAGCATGAATACATGTGCACAGGATCCTCAGAAGCAATGGTGTCAGCAGAACCACACACAAACCCCACCGTGTCACTGCCAGTGATCCCAGCATCTGAACACTGTCACCTTAGAGGGGTCACTCTGTGTCAGTTCAGTGTTTTCTCCAGCTGGGAAGTCTGCCTCTGGAAATGATACCAAGAACTAATTCATAGCAGAATGTGTTCATTGTTCTCCATGATGTCATTTGCCAAATGAAAGAAATGGTTCTAGAATATCCTCTATGCTTATTTACCAAAACTTTATATGCTTGGTCTTTACTGTCAGGATATCATGTTCCACACATTTCCTTCTTCTGGGGGGAAAAAAAAAAAAAAAGTACTTCCATATCTCCAGCTAAAATTTGTGCCCAAAATCCACATTTCCATGTGGATGTCTAAAACTGGATTATTCTCTTCTCCCCAAAACCAGTTTCTCCTCCTGACTTTGACTTCTCTTCTCCTAACTTGTACAGTCATCTCAGACTTTACAGCCACCACACCAGCTTCCCAGACTCCACTCCCAAACATCCTTCAGTCTCCCTCTGTATTCCATTTTCATGTCTACCATGTTCATTTACAGCCTAACCTAGATTCACTGTTACCCTTGTTCCTGCCTCTCACTACTCGGATCCATTCTATGTACACTGCTTCAACTTAATTTTCCCAGAAGGCAACTCTAATGAACGTTTTCTCCTGTTCAGAAATCTTCAGTGGCTCCCTATTTTCTGCTGAACTAAATGCAGACTTTGCCCTACAAGCCTCTCCTCAACTTGGCTTCAGACTCACAATACAGCCACCCGTTTCACCCTGTTATGCAAACTTTGATGACTTCTGTTTCATGAAAAAGAGATCAAATAGTTTGCCTCATTCATATTCTGGCTTGCTGCCTTTCACATTTTGTACCCTCCTTCTAGGATGTGTTTCTCCAGAAGTTTCTGTTGTTGAAACCCTACTCTTCCTTCAAAGACCATCTCAAGCACTATCATTTTTTGGAAAACTTCTTGATGTGCTCCCACCTTTCCCAACTAAATAGAATCTCTCCCCAGTTTCAGCCTCTATAGCATTTTTCTTAGCATTTTTCTGCCCCTGCCTTTCATTATGATCCGATGTGTTCACTTTGCCCACCTCACTAGATTTTAATTCCCAATGGTAAGAATTTGTAGGCCATTCCTGCAAATCCATTTTTGCATAGAAATTGTTTCAATACAATTGAAAAGATGTATTGAGCACCCATTGTAAAAGGCACTGTGCCAAAGACTACCAGATGTACAAGGATAAATTAAAATAGCATTCAAATATTGATGAAGAAGGAACTAGCAATAGGTGTGTTTTGAACACAGACATAGAGATTATAAAACTGCCATTGGGATGCTCTTGAAGGAGGAAAGTATCTTAATGATTAAATAATCCCCTGCTTGCTTTTCCAAGTGTTTTCTGGTAAATCTGGACTTGGTGGGGAAGAGGAGGGAATATCCAGATAACAGCTACTCACCAGAGAAGAACATATGTCACTGTCATCTGATTCCACATCATCCTCCTAACTACCTTAGTGATCCTTATATTTCACTTTCTCAGTTGTAGTTAGGAATCAGGTAGGCACACTGGATTTTGGCAAATTTTGGAAGTCTGCAAATTCCAGTCCATTAGTACCAACTTAAAATACACTCCACAGTATCCTGAATCATTACATGCATGAATCAAAAGTATGATGATGCCAGACACACTTTGGGAAGCTGAGGTGTGAGGATCCCTTGGGTTCAGGAGTTCAAGACCAGCCTGAACAACATAGTGAAACCCTGTCTCTGCAAAAAAAATTTAAAAATAAAATAAAATTAGCCAGCCCTACTGGCCTGTGCCTATAGTACCAGGTACTCAGGAGGCTGATGTGGGAGGGTGGCTTCAGCCCTGGGAGTTCAAGGTAAAAGTTGCAATGAGTTATGAATGCACCACTGCACTCTAGTCTGGTCAACAGAGAAACACCCTATTTCTAAAAATTGAATAATGAAAAATAAAAAAGCATGATTAATTATTAAAACAGGCAGGCTGTTTTCTCTTGGAGACTTCTGTTTAGAATGACAATTCCTTCTCCCTCAGTTTGAGGAGATAGGCAAGTGTCTCCCTGGGCCAAAAATGTTACCACCATTCTCATCTTTGCATGCTTATTCAGCAGCACTATGTACAGGCTTGGACTGCACAGTGCTTAGGTTCTCTTTCTGCTACACAACCTTGGATGAGGTACAAATGTTAATTCTCAGTTTACATATCTGTAAAATGGTGATTGTAATATTTTTACTCCATAGATTTCTGGGGATAACATAGGGATAATGAATAATGTAAGGAGAATGAGGAGAATGCATGTAAAAGGGGCTTAGCACATTGTCCAGCTTACAGGAACCTCTCTATTAACATTAGTCGTTATTTTCAGCATAGAAAACATGAGCAATTATGAACTCTTCTCCAGTCTCATGTTGGGATAAGTATAAGGAAACGAGGAAAAGATGGGGTCAACAACATTTTCTCTAGAGGGACAGATAGATAGTATATAAGTCCTGTGGGCCTTACTGTCTCTCTTGTTAACTACTCAGTTCTGCAATCATAGCATGGAAGCAGCCATAGACAATACATAAATGAATGAGTGTGACTGTGCGCCAATAAAACTCTGTTTATACAAACAGGCATTAGGAGCCAGATTTGTCCTGTAGGCATAATTAGCCAAACTCTGGCTATACTGCCCAAACCCTGGCCTTTGGAAACTTCCAGTCAAGTGTGGTGGTAAGATTTGTAAGACTTTTCAGGGGAAACAAGGAGGAGTCAGGGACTAACTTCTATGTCATCCAGAGGAGCATAGAAACTTGGTATTTTAAAACAGCTTACTGTGTGAATTTCCCAGAGATGAACATAAGTAAAAATATGGCCTAGAGCAAGTAGCGCAGGTTCGTTTTTTAACCTTGCATTTCAAAATAAGTAACTTCAGCTTTGAAACAGAACCTTTCCTTTCAGTACACGTTTTCCTCAGAAACTCAGCTCTCCCATTGATCCTAGAAGTTACACATTTCTAGGAATAAAAATGTCTGTAGATTAATTGGAAGACAATGCCTGATCCTGACTTCTGTTCCCTATCCTTATATATGAATAGACAGAGCTGAGAAGTCATTTCTCCTGCAGTTTGACTAGAAGGAAATGGAAAGTGCATGATAGCCAAGAAAATCATTTGCTTCCTTTTTTATTCTCATTATTAATATGTGATCGTATTATTAATAATATAAAGGAATAGTAAATGAGAATCCATGAGCAATATCAGACTCTGAAAGTGAGAGCCAGTGGCTAAGTAACAACCACTTAGGATACTTGACAGTTTAGTAAAGTTGCCAAATAGGAGACAGACTCTGTTCCTTTGAAAGAAGGGTGACTGCAGCGTGTGTTCCCCACGTAGAAGAGCCAGAACATACTTGCTGGGACTTTCTCAGGGTCATTGCTTGGGAAGGAAGTTGTATGGGAAATTCACAAATTCTTAGATGTTAACATTTAAAGGCAGCATGCTACAAAGACAACCTTTTTTTTAATCAATAAAGTTGCAGGGGAGCCCCATTTGCACTGTGTATCATATTGTATTTTGATATCCAAAACAGCTTGTCTCTTCTAGAGTTTTCATGACTTAATGTCTGCCAATTTAATGGGCCTGGTGCTTTATTCATTAGAAGCAAGAAATTAAGTCCGTGATAATAAGGCAAGGTTCTTATCGGATTTCTCTCTTTTGTTGTTTTGCAGTTTTCTCCTTGTCTTTGGTTGCTTGATTTTGTCAGTGTTTTCTACCATCCCTGAGCACACAAAATTGGCCTCAAGTTGCCTCTTGATTCTGGTAAGTGAAAAATGAACAAGAATGTACCTGAATGTTATATAAGAACTGCCTGTAACATTTATATTATGTGTCTTATCCCACAATAAAATCCATCTCAAAAAGAGTCACTGCAAAATATAAAAGTTTCAAAGATTACTGAAACATTCTCCCACCAATTTAACGTGTAGTCAGTCCTTAGAAATATATAGAAATGTTCAGGATTGCTATTACACAGCAATATCTTGTGTTATAGATATATCATAAATAGAGGGCAATATTAGAAAGCACTTTTAAGTATGCTTATGCTAATAAACAAATTGTAAGAAGAGTCAGTATCTATGAGGCCTCTTCTTATATTGTGAACGACTATAGGGTAGAGCGCATTTTCCAATAATTGTAATTTGGCAGTAACTAAATATAATTGGCCAGGAACTATGAACATATGGCACCTCATAAGAAAATAGAAGGCTCCTTCATGCTCTTTTCAGCCAACAGACTGCATTATGAGTTTTGCTGCTAATGCAGTTACCTGGTGATACATTCTGCAGTTTGCTCTGTTTGCATTATGCTGTCAATCAGCCACACAGAATTGCTCAATTCATTTTAAAATGGAAAAAGACCTCAAGATATTTTTATCCAAATTATTCTGAGCCTTTTAAGCTCTCATACTTTCTGTTACAACTAACCTATAGCACTTTATACTCAAATCACATCTGATTGAAAGTTTGGTTCATTTTCAACTATTTTGACCCACTCACTGTGTCCAAAATTATCAGATTTGACAGTCTAAGAGCACTTGAATGAACTACAAACTGGAACAACTCACTGTTTCTGTAAAGCCTAGGGGCATACAGAAACAGGGGGAGGAAAACAGTAAGATGGTTTACGTGCCCTAATAAGCAGAGATTGGTTATGTTACAGCAATAAATATTGAATATGAAAAAAATGTTCCTACCATGAAGGTAGAAACTTAAAGATTTCAACTCATATAACCTGAGAGAAGGGGGCAGATGTTTTCTTACCTTTGGTTTCAGATGGCTAGTTTGTACTTAAGGTTGCTAAGGCATCATCAAGTCTTCCCATGCAATATCAGGGAGAACTCATTCTGAATCTGTAATAAATCTCTCTCAATTCATTTGCATACAAACTGTGCTCCAGCAGCATATTGCTCATGTTAAGGTTACCCAAGGTAGAGAACAGATAGACCAAAGAGCACGTCAGGGGTCTATTCCATTTCCAAGCTTTCCCTTCGGGTAGAAAGCAGGCGTTTAACCTTGTCTACCCTTTTGATAACAACAAATGATCTGAGCCCAAGGGCTAAGGTACGGCTGGTCCACACATATAGAACTACAACTGGGAATTTTAGACTGAAAATATAAATCTGATTTTTAAACTTGGAAACAGAAAACTGGATCTGCTGCATGACCAATCATATATATTAGGAATAAATCAGTCATTAGGAATCTCATGTAAAGGTTTGTTTCAGATTAGGAATCTCATGAAAATGTTTGTTTCAGATCCAGGTCAAGAATCCAAGATGTTAGATTTACATCCTCCAAATCTCTGAAATATAAATTCTATTGTTGCTAATGAATTTCTAAATAGTCCAAAGAAACCCATGTAATTACAATATCTAAAACTAGTTCGTTTCTTGACTTTTATTTTTCTATTTTTTATTTTAATTTATTTATTTAACTTTAGGTGCATACTATATCTGGCATTTCTCCCCATGTTATCCCTTCCCAACCTCCTCTCCCTCCCCAATCCCCGCTGTCTCTCCCCTACTCCCCACAACTGCCCCCAGTGTCTGATGCTCCTCTCCCTGAGTCCACGTGTTCTCATTGCTGAATACCTATCTGTGAGTGAGAACATGCAGTGTTTGGCTTTCTGTTCTTGTGTCAGTTTGCTGAGAATGATGGTTTCCAGATTCATCCAAGACCCTACATAGGACACAAACTCATGGTTTTGTTATGGCTGCATAGTATTCCATGGTGTATATGCACCACATTTTCTTTGTCTAGTCTATCATTGATGGCATCTGGGTTGGTTCCAGGTCTTTGCGATTGTACACAGGGCTGCAATGAACATACGTGTGCATGTGTCTTGATAGCAGAATGATTTACAGTTCTTTAGGTATGCCCAGTAATGGGATTGCTGAGTCAAATAGAATTTCTATTTCTAGATCCTTAAGAAATCGCCACACTGTCTTCCACAATGGTTGAACTAATTTACACTCCCACCAACTGTGTAAGAGCGGTCCTATTTCTCCACATCCTCCCCAGCGTCTGTTGTCTCCAGATTTTTTAAAGATTGCCATTCTAACTGGCGTGAGATGATATCGCAATGTGGTTTTGATTTGCATTTCTCTAATGACCAGTGATGATGAACATTTTTTCATATGTTTGTTGGCCTCATATATGTCTTTTTTTGAAAAGTGTCTGTTTATAACCTTCGCCCACTTTTGAATAGGGTTATTTGGTTTTTTTCTTGTAAATCTGTTGTAGTTCTTTGTAGATTCTGGTTATTAGCCCTTTGTCAGATGGGTAGATTGCAAAAATTTTTTCCCATTCTGTTGGTTGCCTATTCACTCTAATGATGGTTTATTTTGCTGTACAGAAGCTCTGAATTTTAATTAGATCCCATTTGTCTATCTTGGCTTTTATTGCCATTGCTTTTGGTGTTTTAGTCATGAAGTCCTTACCTATGCCTATGTCCTGGATGGTTTTGCCTACGTTTTCTTCTAGTGTTTCTTGACTTTTAAAACTTGTTGAATAGTGAACAATGGATCAGAGTTTAGTAACTAGAGTGCATTTAGTAGAAAATAAAAATGTAGATGTCAGTCTTGAATGCTTTCAGATTTAGCAAAGTAGAATGAGTTCCTCTATGCAGATGAGGCCTTTGTTTTGAGCAATGTAGTTAGTGCTACAGATAGATATATGCAGAAACCTATTGCAACAAATCTTTCCATAGGGAGAGGGTTTGTTAACCCTACTGTCTTTGTGCTATAGTGATACATTGTCAAGGTATATTCTTAAAACCCACCTAGAAATATGCAGACTGCATTGCAGAGCTAAGATTTACTGATGATATTCTTCACCAATGTTTTATCCAAAATCTATATTTTACTTGGACAAAAAGTTCAAATAAAGTCTTTGCTTTACTTTTTCTTTAGCTAGCAATTAATAAATTAGGAAAGCATTAATATTTTAATTATTTTTCATAATGAGTTAACATAGTATATGATAAAAGTTCAATCGGTTGTAGAAGATTGGGAAAAGTCACTCATTAAGATGATAAATCTTGTGATTTAAGGAATCTCTTATTTATTACTTTTTAACATGTATTTTTGAGACATTACTATAATTTTAAAGTCACAGAACTCATAGAACACAATTCTGATTAGCAGTAAACTTCCCAAGATGAGACATATCAAAGGAATTACCATTCAAAAGAAGAAAAAGGATTGTCATTCAAACAGTAATAGGAATGGCTTTTAAATTGTTTGCAAGGCCAGGCACAGTGGCTCACGCCTGTAATCCCAGCACTTTGGAAGGCTAAGGCAGGCAGATCACTTGAGGTCAGGAGTTTGATACTGGCCCGGCCAACACAGTGAAAGCTCGTCTCTATAAAAAATACAAAAATTGGCCTATCATGGTGGCACACACCTATAATCCCAGCTACTTGCGAGGCTGAGGCAAGAGAGTAGCTTGAACCCAGGAGGCAGAGGTTACAGTGAGCCGGGATTGCATCACTGCACTCCAGCCTGGGCGACAGGGCATGACTCCATCTCAAAAATAAATAAAGCAAAAAATAAAATGTTTGCAAAAATGCACAATAAATCCACATTTGTACACTTTTTGTGTACATTGTTGATATGTAAAGATGACACCAGAGGTGTAAATTTAGAACTATATATAAATCCTATATCAGAATTGCATATTTTTTCATAACTTCTGTCCCTTTTGGGTTTTTTTTAACATTTTAAAATATGTTCAGAGATTTCCTAGAATTCTGTTTCTGTGCAAGTAAAAGACACCCACACTTGTGACAGGAAGCACACTACAGGCAAACCTGGCTCACAGTCAGAGCCCTCTTTGACACTCCTTTTCTACCTAATTGTTCCCTTGAGGGCACCAGCATATTAGGTGCAGGCCATGCCTTTAGACGTGTCTCACTTGTCTCCTGGGGCTCCCATAAAGACATTATCTGTCCATCTCACATCCAAAAGGAGTATCTCCCCTCACTTCCATCCAGAATGGCACTGCCAACGCTCTTGTAAACTTGTAACTTCATTAACTTGCCTTCGTTACAAGCCAAATGAATACCTGCGTTAATTTGCTCATTTATTCATTTCAGTTGTGGCAACCGAGGTTTCAGGCTGTACACCAGGTTCCTTCTCTCCATAGAAGCAGTGGAGCATAGACTTAAGAATGTGATATAGACTATAGTTGGGCTCCATGAATTCAAATTTCTCACCTGTCCTGTTTTAGCTATGTGATTTGGAAAATCACTCCACTGTGCCTTAGTTTTCTCATCTGTTAAAAGTGAATAGGAGGATTCTAGAAGAAAGAGTAGGAAGTACCGGGAGTCTGTCTCCCCACCTAAACAACAATTGCACTGGCAGAATTTAATGTAATTCAACGGATGGAACTCTGGAATTTATTGTATGTTTGCAACCTTCAGAGGAAGGCTTAGATGGTAAATTGCAGTTAATTTTGGTCCACTTCAGCTCTTAGCACGGTGATAGCTACCCATGCCCTACACCCAGTCCCATTGTAGGCAGCTGTGCACATGTTCCAGGAGGGACCTGAACATAGCTTGTAAGAGCCAGGATGGGCAAAGAGAACCCTGTCCGCCAAATGTCAGAAATCTGACCTCTGGTGACTAAATTGCTGCTTCTGATCCCAGAGGCACAGACAAAAAATTGTGGCAGCCATTGTTGTTGCACCTTCCCCCATTGCTGTAAGCCCTTCCCTCACCAGCAGAAGTGACTTCCAGGGGATTAAAAGCGTCCTCCCCAC